CCCGCACCCTAGCCATAAAATACACATTTTACATACACGGGATGAAATAAACACAGCCTATTACTCCAGATTAAATGATTATCATCAAATTTATTCACGTAGATAATGGATTTAACTCAGGATGATTCACTATCGGATTCGTCTCTCATGCACTGCTCAAGCCGTCTGTCCGTATATCGCACTATTAACACGTCATATTTAGCGGCCGCTCTCTTAAAGGGGAAGTACACTTTTTTTCGGGTTATATATTCAAATACCACCTGGTTACATTCTCCCCTGCCGACCTGTCAACGTCCTCGGTGACAGTGTAAGAGTTTCTCAGCTCTTTCACTGTTTCCCTAAAGAACACTGTTCCTACATTAGCTATCATTTGAGAAACAGCATTGTGACTTAGGGCTGATCTAGGCTCATGGTGTGGATTTGAATGTTGACCCACATTAGATCTAGCACTCCTTCGAAGTGTGGGCAAACTAGAAACCTCACCTTGCTCCTGAAACCCTCTCCCAAGTTCCATTCCAGCTGGAACGTTGGTATCACACGGAGACTCCTCTGAAGTTCTCATCTCGTTTTCAGCTTCAGGTTCAGTCCCTGCAAGACTTTCAGCGACACTTGGGCCAGTACATTCCAAGAGCACTACACTGTCCTCCAAACTCTCATCGTCTACATCCACTGTCGAAGCCCCATCCACTTCCACATTAGGCTCAACACTCCTCTTGGGAGCCACTGGATCAGGGACGTGCACACATGGTCTGAGATCCACCCGATTCACTCTCTTGATGGGACCTCCCTCCACAGGTTCCACTGTATGAGTAGTCCCTTGAATCTCTATCACCCGATATTGGGTCGGATGCCAGGCGTCCTGTATTTTATTCCTCCCCAGGGTTCGATGTCTTAGGTATACAATCTGGCCAACCTCAATGGATGGGCAATACACTTTATCATGAGAAAGCTCAATCCGCTCTGCTGCTTTCCTCTCAGCATAGACTTTGGCACGTTCATGGGCCTCCTTCAAGCGTCTCTGATGGACTGCCAACCAGTCATGAGTCGGCTTAGCCCCGATTCTCATCCCACCAATGCATCCACCGGCAAATGAGGGTCCACGCCGAACAACAGATAGAAAGGAGAATACCCCGTCGTCGAATGTGGGGTAACGTTGTATGCGTAGACCAGCTCCGCCAGATGTTCAGACCACCGTCTTTTAGTCACAGGAGGGAGTGTCCGAAGCAGCTCATGTAGAGTGCGATTAAAACGCCCGCACTGGGCGTTTCCTGTCGGATGATGAGGGGGGGTACGGCTTTTTTTAACCCCATACAGCTTGCACAATTCTGTGATTACCTCGCTTTCGAAATTGCGCCCCTGGTCTGAATGTAGCCGTTCTGGGACTCCGAATTTCATGAACCACTCCCTGAAAAGAACTTGTCCCGTGTCGCAAAAGCTTGAGTGAACTTGGTGAACACATCAGTGACAATTAAGACGTTCTCCCTTCCATCGGTGGCGGGCTCCAGCAAAGTGAAATCTACTGCTACCACCTCTAGAGGCCGGCTAGCAAGGAATGACTTCATGGGCAGATGCACTTTAGACTGAGGCATTTTCGTGAGTACACAGCGCTGGCAATTCTTGATCCACTCCTCAACGTCTCCATACATCCCCACCCAGTAACATCTTGGTTTCAGCAGTTGCAGGGTCCTTTCAATCCCCTGGTGCCCCATACCAGCATGCACACTTTCAAGCACCTGGGTTCTTAAGCAGGCGGGGATTACCAGTTGGAAACACTCCCCATGACGCATATCCTCCACAACCCAATACAACAATCCCTCTTTTTCCCTTAGTCAGGCCCACTGCTTCAATAATGATTGTACAGATTTTGACAGGGTTTTCACCTCCAAGCCTGCAGGCTTGCGTTTCTGGTCCCAAAAGATCCTGAACTCCTTCAGCACTGGATCTTGACTCTGAAACGTTGCCAACTGCTCTTTAGAATAGCCAGGCCAAATAGGAGTACTCCCCTGTGCCTCAGTGCTTGCCAGCCCACCTGTTTCCACGGCGCGCATCTGCCGGACTTCGCACTTCTCCATTCCAGCTTTGACCAATTCAGCATCAAGAGCAGTTCCACGTTGCCCCAGGCTACAGATAGTCACACAGTTGTCATACTCGGCATCTTCCAGGTCTATCACGGGCTCCCCTGCCAAGGGCTGCCTAGACAACACATCTGCAGCATGATTACACCGGCCGGGTCGATATTGGACATCAAAATCAAATGCCGCTAGCTGCGCCACCCATCTTTGTTCCAGGGCTCCTAGCTTGGCAGTGTTTAGGTGACATAGTGGGTAATTATCTGTGATAACAGTAAATCTGGAACCCAGCAAGTAACTCCTGAATTTTTCAGTTACTGCCCACTTGAGACTCAGCAGCTCTAATTTCATGCTGCTATAATTCTTGTCATTCCTCTCAGCATTCCGCAACCGTCGGCTTGCATAAGAGATCACCCTTTTCTTTCCCTCTTGCTGCTGCAGAAGGACAGCTCCTAAGCCCTGATGGCTGGCATCAGTCTCAAGAATAAATGGCGCAGAGAAATCTGCAAATCCGAGCACAGGTGCGCTAGTCATTTTCTCTTTCAAAGAATCAAAAGATGCCTGACACTCAGGATTCCACCCACTGATCACCTTTTGGTTAACTTTAGCTGGAGGCCCCTCATTCAGACACTGATTGACTAAATCATGCAGCGGCCCTGCGATTTTTGAGAAGCCAGGGACAAATCTCCTATAATACCCGCAGAACCCAAGGAACGACCTCAGAGCTTTCAGAGTCATAGGTACTGGCCACTGCTTCACAGCAGAGATCTTGTTAGGGTCAGTGGCTATACCCTCAGCTGATGCTTGATGTCCCAAAAACGTCACTGTGGACTGTAGGAAGTGACATTTTCCTACTTTGACTTTAAGTCCAGTCTCCTGTAGCCTTGATAACACAGTCCGCAACCTTTCCAAATGCTCAGAAAATGTTTTGGAGAACACCAAGATGTCATCCAAATATACAAGCACAATCTGAAAGATGAGATCACTCATGGTCGTTTGCATTAGTCTTTGGAAAGTTGCGGGCCCGTTACACACCCCCATTGGCATCCGTAGATGCTCGTACAACCCAAATGGTGTGGTGAAGGCGGTTTTATGCCGATCTTTTTCTGCCGCAGCCACCTGGTGATACCCACTGGCCAGGTCGATGCACGAGAAGAACTGTGCACCCCGTAACACATCATAACTCTCATCCACCCGAGGCAGTGGAAAGGCGTCCCGCTTCGTTTTCAGATTTAGCTTGCGGTAATCGACACATAGACTGATACTACTGTCAGCCTTTCTCACTAGCACCACTGGAGATGCGTAGCTGCTTGAGCTCTCTTGAATAACGCCCTTCCTCAACAGTTGTGCTATGTGTTCCTTGGCCTCTCTGTATTGGTTCGGCGGAACTCTGCGATACGGCAGGTTAATAGGTACATCGTCCACCAGGTGAATCTCATGCTGTACTCGGTCCGTAAATCCAAGATCTTCATCGCTTAAGGCGAACACATGGGCATATTCAGCGAGTAACGCTTTCAACTCAGCTTGCTGTTCCACCGTACCTCCAATGTCCAGCTGGGATAACACGTTAGACCACTGCTCTTGCCTGGATGGTGATTTGGCCCCATAGAGATCTCTTCAGCATTCGCAGAAATGCGTTGGAATGTTACCTCGTGTCCTGGGTCATTATCCACCACCTTCACTTGCGACAGAACACCGATGCGAGTCCTAGGGTGCAACCACACATCTTCATTAGACAGATTAAGAACTTGGACTGGACCCTCGTGATGGTGTGAGCTTACCACAGTCGGCATAATCAGCAAACCTCCCGGCAAAGCTAAGTGTGCTGACTCCAGCAGCCACTGGCTTTCACCTTCCGTACTCACCAACCACCCTTTTGCCATCACTGTAGTTATGGAGCCCGCCGGCACATGAACCACACGCCTTCCAGCTATCCGGGCCACCCGACTCTTCAGAACATCACAGGTTTGTATATTTTGTTGTTGTTTACTCCAATCAGTCTCTAGCCCCCCTTCCAACGGAGCCTCAAATTCGGACTGCACTATCTGCCGGCCGCGACTAATGATGTTCAAGTTCTTCTTGACTAGAGTCTACAGGTTGCCCTTGGATGGCTCGACTTGTCGCATTTCCCAGCTCACTAGAACGGGGTGCAGGTCTTTTTGGGTTACGTTTCTGGGGACAATTTCTCACAATATGCCCTGCTTCCTGACATTTCAGGCATATGGGCTTGCCATCCTCAGTAAATCGTAACTGGGCTCTCGTGTTATTCGCCTGCAGGCCCCCAACCCCCTGTTGTTGTGTCATTAAGCTTTTAACAGCCTGTGTTAGCTCAAGGATCTGCCTGCCCTGTTCAGTGACTACATCCATTATTTTCGACAAAGTGTCGGGGTTATGGCCCATGGCTTTCATTTCGGCACACTGTGCGCTTTCACTAAAGGAGCCATAAGTACCACTTTGACTTTTAGGGGTTCTAACCCTCCCCGATCGCTCCTCCCAGCCCCAGAGATAAGCTTCCACCCTCACTTCCACCATAGAAGACTCAGGCTTGTCTCTTACATACCGTCGAAGTTCCCGTCTGAGTG